GGTACGGAGGCTTTTCTTGATGGGCCAGCCTCGTGCCCCAACCTCTCGAATATGCTATGTCTTGATTATTTCTCACTTGGTTCCCCACGACTTTAATCTATTGGGGTGCGGCTGACCCGGACACACTCTTATCATGTTGACCGGAGCTGGGAATGGATCAATGTCAAGTTTCATGTCTGGCTTATCTATCAGGTTCAGTCGTCTTTCCTTAATAGCTAGTTGTACTGCATTATGGAAGGCTATACAGTTCCCAACTTGGTGGCCATAAGTACCGTGCCACTTGAACAATGTCTTGCCTTCCAACTCTTCATCTGGTGGGAAATTATGTCGTTCCTTCAACCAAATATGGTTGTCCTGCAGCAAATACTCAAAGATCTTCTTGGTCTTGGTGATGTCAAAAGAATACTGCTGCCTCAGATTAGCCTCTTTTCGCCGAGATTGCCGTAAAGTTTGGCAAGTGTATGACTTTCCTTGCATTATTTTTGCAATGAATGTCTTCTCCAAATCATCCTCCAAGCTTGGGCCATCTTGACCTTGTACGCAATGGATACCTGCACGGTACCTTTGACTCCGGGCCGCTTGTACATCTTTGAGGATCTACTCCGCCTTAACGGCTTTAGACGTTAATTGCCTCAAGTCCTGGTAACCTTGCAATGCTAACTTCTCCTGGAGAACTTGGTGCATATTATCGATGACAATATTCACCACCTGATTCTCGGGGATACGAAACTCACACTTGCTACCGCCCGCTGGAATCTTTTGAGAAATTGTTCAACTAACTCAGTAGGTTGGTCAGATCCGTAATGGTCACCTCAGGTACTAGATTGTAGAACCGCTCATGAAATTCTTGTTCTAGCTCCGCCCAATTATGTACTGAATTGGGTCACAGAGAACTGTACCAACTACGCGTTGGCCCTGTTAGTGACAAGGAAAAAAACTGTATTTTATACCAATCTTTGTAGTCGTATTCACCACCGCATTGAGCCATAAAATGGCTCATATGCTCAATAGAGGACCTGCAAACCTCCCTTGAAAATAGAGTAAACTCTGGGATCCGGACATGTCTCGGCAGTGGGTGTTCCTCCACGACTCGATCCGGAAACGGCCGTTAATATTGTGGCCAGGTAGGCATCCGCAAGGTATCTCAATAAACTCTGTGTAACGCTTCTTCCAAGGCTTCTGGATCCACTGACGGATTTCTCCCTCTTGCTCCATAGGACTTGGTGGAATCTGCTGAGATGAATCGAGAGCTGGGTGCTCCTCCCGTATAAGTGGAAAATTCTGGAATGTTTGTACTCCACCTATTGGTGGCGGCGGATTTATCAATGGAGGTTGCAAATTCTGCTGAACCGATCCTCTAACGGGTGGCCTCGATTGAGGTGCTTTCTAGACGGCAGCTAGTGGTGCTCTAATGGGCTGATTGGCAGGGATCGGTCTCTCCATAGAAATCTATTGGGGTGTATTAGGGCTAATATTTTTGGAAGCATGTGGTGACGATGTGTATGGTATTGTTGTGGTCTCTACACTTTCCACAGTTATCTGCCCTCTAGCCGCCGAGTAGGGCAAACACACCTAAGGGGCTCCGTAGTATGACGGGAAAACATAAGGTGGTAGACTCCATGGACTCCAATTTCCCCAGGGCCCAGATGGGAATGATGGTGGCATGTTTCCTCCTGGGCCGGAGCACTCTGGTGCTAATTCCGTAGGCCACCTTGCCCCTCAGGCGGGTTGGCTGCTGATGGGCGAAGCCAGCACAAAATCCGTCTTTTCTTGAAGGCGGCACACTCGCCGATGTGCCCACAAATGCTCCATCCCGCTGGATGATGGAAACATGTCCATATTGCAATTGATGAGAAGAAAAAATTTTCATCTGTCGGTGGGTTCTTCTTGCGGTGCTTTCCATTTTTGTAGCTTCCTCTCCTCTCAGCAAACCCATTTTATTTTGGATGGTTGGTCGTATCACGTTCGCTAAGTATTTAGACAATAATAAGGCGGAATCATGAAGAGATGACTGCATCTCATCTCGGATATTTTCTATGATACTTCCAGCGGAAATAGATAAAGTCGTTGTTTGCCCTTACTCCCGCCAAGGGCTTATGTGTTCACGGTAATAGGATCGGTGTCGCTAGGTATGATGTCCTAGCCTCCACTTCCGGCGATGCTAACTCTTGGCAGTATGATGGGTGGAAATTGACGATTCTGCAGTTGCGTTCATGAACAATGAGACACGAAGTGATCGTTGTCCCACTGGGCGTGTCAATTTTTTGTATACAAAAATCCGTATATTCGAGTTTAACAACGGCTCGATGAAGCCAGTTGGAATACTGTCAAAGAGTTCCCTAAGGCATTTTAGAAAGCCTTCAGGTGATCTTTTTGTATATGCGGAAACGACAATCAACAGGAAATCCACATATTGGAATTGGAAGAAAAAAGGCTTAAAAATTAATTTTCATTAAAAATAGAAAGATTATATACATGCAGAATTGAAAAAAAAATGATAAGAAAAACGGATAAATTCGTGGGAAAATAGAACACTAAAAAATATATATATAAAAGTTGGTAGATTAAATTGGTCGAGGTCCCCTTTTTCTTCTACGTGCATCTCATTTTATAGCCCTCTATAAGCTTCCCAAAGCATTCAATTCATCGTAAGTTCACTTCTTAGCTCCCTTAATAGCCTATTTATTTGCAATTATTGCATCATGAGTTATAAGACTCGGGATCATAACTTATATTCCCTCTTTCTCTAGTTGTTTCCGCAAGATCCTAAGATTTTTATGGTTCTTCCGAATCTTTTTTGTAGTCCGAAATGCTGCTTCTTGGGCCGCTGCCACCGAGCTACTGCCTTTTTGGGCTTTTATTTTTGAGTCAATCATCTACTTCCGCGGGCTCCTTTCTGGGCCCTCCATCAGTTGTCTTTCCTTGATTTAGGCTAAATCACTTACTTCTTGAATCAATCTCTTTCGTCTACTACTTTTGGGGCCAACACATACAAATCTTTTTATATAAAATTATTATATTATATATTTTTAATATATTTTAACGTAAAAATATCATTGAAAAAAGTACCTAAACAACTGCAAATATTGTACAATACATAACATTGTTCGATGAACAAAAAAAACTTGCTTTTTTCACTGTTCGATGACTTGGAATCCACTGCAAATTATGACCGAAAGGATGAACCATTGGACATAAAAACTTCTATACGCAGTACTCCGCTCAAAGAGTTAGAGCTGGAGCTGGTAAAAACTGATACGACACGAAAATTCGACCCTAACCTAACATGAAATAATTAGGTTTGGGTCAAGAATTTCAACTCGATTATGTATATGGGTTGACAAAAACCCGACATGATAATAAACGAGTCGGATTGGGATTGAGGCTCTGAACTTAAACCCGGCACGACAACCCGATTATAATATATTAATATTAATTTATTATATTTATTATATATGTAAAAAAATAATTCTAATTTAATAATTATCCCACATATTAATTTAAATTAAGCTCAATTTTAAATAATTCAACCAAATTCATTGTATACATCAATAAAAACTAACATAACACAACAACACGACAAACGATAATTGAATTTGAATTAAGGATTTTCACTTAATTATGTATACAGGTCAACACGAACCCGACACAATAATAAATAGATCAGGTTAGGATTAAGTAATTTAACTCGTTTAAAGTATTCAATCTGACACTAATCGACTCATTGTCAGCTTTATAAATAGCACAATTTGATGTGTTTGGTTGGGTTGGCATTATACTTTCAATTTTTATTTTATCAAATATTACATTACATGACCAGTTAAAATCTCTTATATTTATCACTTTTTAATAAAAAAATATATATTTATATATATTAAAAACTCTTTTTTTTTTAATAAATTTAATTTATATTAATCATAAATAAAAATTTATATATTTTTATTTATTTATATTATATAAAATTTTATTTTTTTTAAAAAAATATTCATATTATATATATATTAAAATATAGTTTGAAAACATTTAACACACCTTAAAAAAATATTTAATCATATATATTCAAATAAAATTTATAAACTATTTTTTAAAAAAGATAAAATTAGGGAGTAAAAAGAGAATTATCCAAATTATTTAAACTTCCCAAACCAAAAATAGACAATCCAATTGAGACAAAAGAATATTAAATGGCTTTGGATAATATTCATCACCTATCTTGAATACCTTCGAAATAATAATTATTCAAATCTCTGACACACATGGTTCGCCTAGTGTGATTTTTTCATCGGACCTGGTTTGCAAGATATTAGATTTGGCCGGAGATTTACCCAGTATACACTTTCGGGTAGCTATTGCGGTTCCACATCATAAAAAATAAAAAATAAATAAATAAATTTAAGCACCCGATCGGTACCGATATTAAATTCCGTATAAATAAATAAAATAAAATAAAATCTTGAACCACAAAATTCACGACAAAGTCTGATCATATAATATAATAGTAAGGTTACTTGAAAAATGGGGATATGATATTGCAAATCTCCAGCATCTTTCAAGGCAGACCACATGGATACTACACATTTGCCCAATTTAAAGAATTTCTAAATAAGAAAAGAAAAAAAAAAAAAAAAAAAAAAAAAAAAAAGAAAAAAGTCGGCAGTCAAAGCTGTTATTAAATATTACTAATCTGTACCTAAATCAAATTTATTTATAATATATTTCTGTCTGATGGTTTCATACATTGCACTTGTAAGATTCTCACAAGATATGTTGTCACAAAAAACAGCAACATCTAACCAATTTCCTATTATATGCCCTGGATCAGGTAGTAGTAAGTATATATATGGCAGGGGCAAAATAGTCTTTTCGAACCAATTGTCCAGTATGTGTCCCTCTATATATATATATATATATATCAGATCTTATCTAATAGAAGCAAGGCTAAAAAGCTATCCTAAAAACTAACACATAAATTCAAAGCAACAACAAAGACTTACCTGAAAATGGCCATTTCGTCGTTTCCGGCGCCGGCCGACGCCGGCGTCCTATGCCTGATTCTGGCAAATGCGGCGGCGTCCGTCGCCGTCGTCAAGGGGATCATCGGAGCGATCCTCGGCGCCTTCGGTGTCTGCGTAGAGTCCCCTGAAGTGTTCCCGGTGGATCGAGCATCTTGCGATAATTACGAAGCCTGTGCAGGATCATACGTAGCCGAATTCAGAAAACGAGCGCCAGCAATCGAGTTCGAACTGCGTACCTTCAACGATCGGGAATGCTCGATCTGCCTGATGGAATTCGAGGCGAGGGAGGAGATCAATTGTCTCCCCTGCCGGCATGTCTTCCACAGTGCATGCATCGACAAGTGGCTCCTGTATTGGCACGCAACGTGCCCTCTCTGCCGCGATCGGGTAATGCCCGATCGATTCATGTGAACCCAATCTTTTCTGATCAACTCGACTAATGTAGCGATGTATATATGCATATAACAAAAAGGTTTACGAAATTCTACGCGTCCTAAAACGTTAATCTCGGCTATTCTAGATACTTCTCTTATCGATCGAGCTACGATGACCTATTTACATGCTCTATCCTAGCTCGGTCCAGTAAAATCGACCATTTCACGTAAGTTCAAACCGAAACACTAAGGCTTTGTTTAAAAATGACCATTTCTATACAGAACATCAATAGATCGAATCAAATCGAATCGAATATCTTAATTCAACTTAACTATATACTAACCTAAGCATGGATATTTCACAAGAGGTTCTTAATCTAACAACAAAAATTTGAATTATCGATATATAATCACCGAAAACAAATTTTTCGAGGAGAGCAATACTCACCGAGACGTATTTCATGTCGGAGATGTGCAAGTATTGACGCCATCTTTGCAATCCCCGGTGAGATCGTTGAAAGTTTGAATCGACATTTTGCTCCTCAAGAACACTTCCATGTCCACCGACGCCTTCATGTAGCTGTCGAACTCGACAGCGTCTCCTTGGTTGAGTTTCCTCATCTCATCGAACCAATCGCTCTCGGCATTCCAAAGATCATTATATTCATCGACGAAATGCACGGAGTATTTTTCTTTCAATGGGTCGAAGAACGACACGTTGGGCTCGTTTGTTGTGATGTACACATTCGCCCCTTCTCCGACTCTGTCTTTCAGTTTCGACAGTAGCGAGTCGGGCGAAGTGTCCCGATCAAGATTAGGCCATAGCTCCTTGTTCCTCGCCTTCATCCCTCGCTCGACGTTAACAGAAACGTAATCCCATTTCATCCTCGCTATAATCGCATACGAAATATCCAACAATTGCCGCGATTTCCATAGCTTCCTCCATGGCCGGGCGACAACAGATCCTCCGTCGCCTTCGCAAACTTGGTACCAATAATTATCCGAACCGAACTTCCTCATTATCAAAGCATCCTCAACTTCAGCTAACTTCGATGGCGCGACTGCAAAATCTTCTACAAAACGAAGACTCAACCCATCGTTTCGTCGCCATTCCCTCCAAAACTGACTCTCCTCCATCACTTGTGCCGAATCCATCAATCGCTCGAAATCAAAATAGAATCGCCAATCCTTCCCGTCCTCATCCTCGCCGGACGGCGAATGCGCCTTCGACAAACATACTCTTAAATCCATAACCAATGTTCGGTTCAAATACAGTGCCTCACCTAACATACACATGAAACTCCATAGATATTGGCTCATATCCTTGCATCGATCACCACCTCCCGAATATATCAAATACTTTCCACGGCTAAACGATTCCTCTGATTCGACTTCCGAAATCAATGCCTCGCTCGTGATCATCGAATTTTCGATGTGCCTATCGCCTACCGCCTTCTTCCTACTCCTAGCATTGCCGCCGGATCGATAATCCCCGATTGCCGCGACGGTAATCGAGCAATTCTCCGATCTTAGAACTGTGAAGGCTCTGTAATCCTTATCCAGAGCAGTTGCATTTCCATTCGCATTTTGTTCGGCCTTTGGCCTAAACTGCCATGCCATGTGACAGGAGCTAGGGTTTTCTCCTTGGACAGGTTTTCCGAACCGGTGGAAATGGATATCGGTAAACGCCGCCATTGCAGATCGCATCAACAAAAGGAACACATCAAAATTATCGCAGGCGATAGGATCGTCGGTTTTACAGTTACCTGAATCAGCCGCCGTTGGATCGGAATCGGACTCAGAATCGGATATGTTGACGGCTAACGCTGCGAATGTAGCTCCACCGCCGGCGGAGGAGTTGGATCTGAACAACTTTCCGATCACTGTCGGAGGCTGAAACCATGGATCCTCTGGCTGGTATTTCGCTCCGATTAAAGTGCAAATCAAAATTGCAACCACGAAGGAAGCGAGGCAGAGGTTCCTAATCAAAGCCGCTGCACTCCGGCCAGTGGTTTCCGCCGCGAAGCTTCCTCCGTTTCGAGAGATTGGAAACGATTGGCGGCAATTGAGCATTTCTCGAAGTTATTCGAACTCGATTGAGGAATGGCAAAGAATCAGCTCCAAATACAGCAGCTATTGCACCGCAAATCCGACGATCAGCATTTGACTGAGAAACAGAGGAGCTGTGGTGAACCAACCATCTACATACAATAATACAAGGCTTCCTGCTAGAATGCGCCGCTGGGTGTTAGCTCCTAACGTGTGCATATGCGTACGTGTCTCTATGATCATCTCAATCAAACCATTCATCTTTTCTTTTTCTAATAATTGCCGACATATGTGTATGTGTGTTTGCATATTGACTAGGGTCTCTTCCGTCGGATGGTCGGATTTGGCAGTGATCAGCTCCTCCTGCCCCACTGTCTATCCATACTCATACACATCGTTCGCCGTTGCTGACCGGCGTCGCGGATCGGCCTTTAAATCGGTCAAATATCGGCCTATATTTTTTTATATAAAATTTATATTTTTTTAAAAAAATAATAAATAATTAATTAAAATACATCAAATTATAAATATAACTAATTTGAATATATATATTATTGAAAAATTATATTATAATTTATAATAGATTAAAATTTAAAATAAATAATATTTCAACTCAATTAGCGCATATATATATATAAATGTAAATGCTAAATTTTATATTTTTTGCAGATTGTCATTATACTAATAAATTTATTTTAATAACAAAATGATGTACCTTGTGTCCGTCAATGTCAATATTTCATCTTTATCATCTGTATTACATATAAATAAAAATAATTAGAAAAAAAACACCAATACAATTTTATAAAATATTCAAACTATGTTTATACTAAATATTTATACTTACCATTCAATACCATGTGGAATGTCGTGGAGGCTCAAAATCATTCTCATCTGCCGATCGATTATAGTATTAATATCCTTGTTCTTGATTCATATTGCGTGGATAAAGGGAGATGTTCGAACCATATTGATTTTCTCTAAATGAACCCTTTCCATATACATCAAAACCTCGATATTCTCTATTATCATTGTTTCTTCTTTATGAACCATAATTTTGTCTACGATCATCAATACTACCCGAACCAGATGTAATCCCTCTGTAATATGTTCCAACTGGTTGGTTGGATCCAAATATAGGAAGATTGGCTGAATACTGAAAATGTCTGGGTAGATTAGATAAACCGTATCCTGAGTAATAGGGATTATGATATGCATTTGGGTGGTCCCACTCCTGTCTCCCCAATCTATTACTCGAGCTGTGACAAGAATCTCCGTAGGAATAACCTATATTCAACTCTTGCATATGTTCGTGAACTCCAGAATATCTTCTAGTATCTGAATTTGAAGCATCGGCTTCACTTGAAAATTCTGTTAAACTATTTAGAAAATCTCTTTGAGCTTCTATACCAGGACGATATCCATGATCAATGTCTTGGGTAGCATAATAATTTTCACTTCCTTGAGCCCATCCCATATCACTTAAGTATCGGCTATCCCTGTAGCTCCCACTACCACCACCACCACCACCACCACCACCACCACCACCACCATCATCATCATCATCATCATTGTTATTATTCTTATCTTCACCATTAGTTAATGAAGATGAAGATTCCAATATGATTGCTTTTTTTTTCTTGGCCGTATTTTTGTTTTCTGATTTTTTCTCTTTCGCCTTCTTTTTTCCATCAGCCATAAATTGAGATAAAAGCATATCACTGTCATGATCATTATGCTCACTTTGACCTCCATCTCCACTTTCTTTGATAGCCTCATCCAACCAATTTAAATCACTATCACGAATAAGTGGAGATTCATTTTCTCTGATCGATTCATCTAAAATATCATTTTCATCAAAAATATGATTCAAATCAATTGGGTCATAAAAATCGTCTGTGTCTGTCCTTTGCATAAAATTTTTTACCTGAAGACGCATGTTGTAGTGGACATAGACTAGCTTATGCAATTTCTCAATAGCTAATCTATTCCGAAGTTTAGTATGGATCAAAGCCCACGTACTCCAATTCCGCTCACAACCCGATGATATGCAAGTTTGACTTAAAACTTTTAATGCAATTTTTCTTAAATTAGGGGCTTCATCACCGTACATATTCCACCAGTCAGCTATTAAAAATAAATAAAAAATTATTAATAATGCAACATTTTATAACAAGTATGTTTAAAATAATAATTAAATGATAAATTTCATAATACATACCTGGTAAAGATGTAGATACAGCTCTAATAGCAAGTGTACTTCCAAACTCTCCAATTTTGTTAACAAATGTGTTTATCTATAGACAATATAATGGTAAAATTATTAGAAATTAATATATATATATATATTATTTATAAATTTCACACAATTTACCTCATTCATAGCCTTTACTTGTATATCCAAATCTGGCTCGAGTCTTTTGATAACTTCTTTTACTACTTTCCGAACCTCCGATGAATCAAATTCACAAGTGCCGGAGTATTGAAGACCAGGATTTAAAAAATAAGCTGCATGAAATGTATATAAAATTAAAAAATAAAACAAACGATTAGCACAGTATAAAAAAAAAAAAAAGTAACAATCATAGTTACCTACTGCATGCAAATCTTGATGCAATTGATTATACCATCTTTCATCGATGATATCCTAATATTGTTGAAAATCTTTCCCCGCGGTTTTTATTGCCATTTTTTTCCTATCCATTGCCTCGTAAATGATAGGTAATGTAGGTTTTTTATCTTGATCAACTACTTTTAAAACCTTCACTAAGGGTTCCGTGACCCCACAAACTCGGCGTATCCGTTTCCAAAATCTTTCATTCAAAATCAAGTCTGATATATCTCCGGCTTCGTGTCTTCTCCTCGAGGTATTATTGTACTCAACCCATTCTCTAAAAGTACACATTCTTTTCAAATCGGTTGCATATCTCAGAAGACTTTCCATTGCAACAAACTCGGTTGCAAATCTTGTTATGCCTGGTCGCAACAGATCTCGGCCATTCGTATATGTTTTCATCAAATTGACCACTTTATCACTGTTGTATATAAATCCTGTAATTCTTCTGGCTTCTTTTATCGTGTATTTCACTGACAATATATCTCCGATGTCTTCTAACATCAAATCAATGCAATGTGCAGTGCATTGAGACAAAAAAACGTACTTCCTTTTCCTCATCAGTTTTTTCCCAGCCGCCTTCATACTAGCTTCACTATCAGTTACAATTTGTACAATATTACAACCCCTACTGATTCCACCACCTTATCCGTTAGGGTGTAGACAAAGTCCGCAGTCTTCGCCTTACTTGTACAATCAACCGAACTGTGATATATCATATCTCTATCACAGTACACCATAAAATTTATGATTGGATGTTTTGTACGAGTACTCCAACCATCACACATAATTGTACATCCGTATGTTTTCCATTTCTGCTTTAAAGAATCAACATACTGTACAACTTCTTGCATCTCCTCGTTTAAATATTCACCACCAATTTGTTTACCAGTAGGTCCTTTAACTCCAGGTCCAACCGATGCACTCGTGTCAATCATCGTTTGGTAGTAAGGACAACTATCGGCAGCGTGAAATGGTATTGCATTAAAATGAAAAAATTTCGAAATTGCTCTACCCACTTTTTTTGCATTATCTTTTGAAAACATATTTTTCAAAGACTTATTCTTCGATTGAAACATGTATGGATCAAGTTTTTTTTTTATGCAAACCTTCTGTCTTTTTCATAGAGCTTTCGAAAAAAAAAATTTTACTTCCTTTTGTATTCGAGCTGCTTCCTCCTACAAAGATAAAAAAAAAAAAAAAAAAAAAAAAAAACATATGATCATATATGGTTGTTATCTAAAAAAAATACTAATATTTAAATATATTTTATAAATTCAATAAATATACCAGCTTTAAAATTCAAGCTTGGTAGATACAGAATGTCTACGCTGCTGCTCCATAAATTCCATATTTCTGCTTTCAGCCATTGCTCTTTTTAAGTGTTTTATTTCAAGAGCATCTATCTCATCTTCATTTATTTCAAAAACTTCATCTTCTTCCTCATCAGAATCATCTTCCAAACGAATGAAATTGCGCAATGCTTCTAACTTTTTTTTATGTGCTGCTCGCATACTTTTTCCTTGGATCAAATGTTTTTTTAATAACTCTCTTATTTCTTTTGGAGCTCTCGTGCATGCTTCAACTTGACCTGTAACATGTGCTACATGTTGTTTCATTCTAGTAATTCCGCCGTGAACAATTTTACCACAATAATTCCATTTTGCTTGTTTTCTATCGTTGCTGATAGGAGTAGCATGATCCCAACCAATATCTCTGTGCGGTGCCATTTTACACAAACTCTGTAATTGAATAATACAATTTTTAAAATATTTATAAATAGTAATTCATTAATTAAATAGACAAATTATATATATTAGTTTATTACTAAATCAAACTTATACAAAAATATAACTAGATAACTAATTTGTTTATATAAAAAGTCTAGTTAAAATATTAATTTTTTACAATAAATTTACAATTAATACAAATTTTGTCTAAAATAATATTAATTTTATATAATAAAGTTATAAGTTATTCTAAAATATTAATTTTAATGAACTTAATTTATAAATAAAAATTAAATACAATCCAAAATAATTGAACTGAATTTATCAATTAATTAAACAAATTATTCTAAATAATTAAATCTAAAATAATTAAACCTATCAATTAAATAAACAAATTAATCAAAAATAATTCAAAATTAATTTCAATAAATAATTAATTTTATACTTATATTTATAAATATTTAAATTTATAAAAAATAATATAATAATTAAATTTACCCAATTTCCTCCCACTTCTTCCCCTTCCCCACTTCTTCCCCACGATTCTTCTTCAGCGACGCAGAACGGTGGGCACAGACCAGCGGCAAGCAGTGAAATTTCTTCGCCAATTTCTTCTCAACACCGACGATTAAAAAATTCACCTTCCAGCACCGCAATACCCAACCAAAACACTTCGTTCTCCAGGTAAATGTTTTCTTCTCCAATCTGTCGAATTGAGATGAATTGGTACAATAATATGAATTAAAAGTAGAAAAAAGGGTAAGAATAGGATTTATAAACGATTTTATAGATAAGATATGAATGGATGTGAGAGTTTTTCTCAAATATCGGATATATCGGATATTTTGGACGAACCGGTTCCGGATCAGCCGAGTCGGACCGGACTCGGCCGATCCGGCGAACCATGCTCATACACCATCTCATCCCCTCGGATTTCTCCTGTGATTTTAAATTCAAATTTAGGATTAGCTAATAAAAATATTAATTATCTCTATATCGCT